AAGCAACAGGAATGTGGTTCTGCAGAAGGATGCTGAGGATACTATTGGCCGAAAATCTGAGCAACGACGAAGTTTTAGATAAAATTGAAATAACAAGAAAAAACATACCTAGCATCAGGAATAGACAGTTGGAATTTCTAGAGCATATAATGAGAAAAGAAGGCTTGGAAAATTTTATACTCACAGGACAGATTGAAGGTAAGAGGGAGAGAGGAAAACAACATAATGAGCAGAAATTGGCCATGGTTCATTATGTTCTTGACTGTCGAGCTTTACACACCCAGGATGCCTCTGCATCCACTAAATCTCCATTGCCTTATTGCATCCATGGTTGTTATATATTTATATATATTGAATAAGGTCTATTCCTTCTTTCTTTTTATGTGCCATGTCCTTTCAGGACGTAGGCGATCATGGCTCTTCACCTCCCTCTATCCCTCGCAGCTTTCAACAAGTTCCTTCTCTCTGCTATTTCCCTCAGACCACGTTCTGTCACCCACTTGCCAAGTATGTCACACGTTGTTTTCCCTTGTATCCCTTTCCTTCTATTCGACCCGTGAGTATCAGATTCACCAGGCCCTCCTTGCTCATTATGTGTCTCAGAAACATCATCTGCCTCTTCCTGATGTTAAGTATAAGCCCCCTCCTTGTTTGCATCCTCTCTTAGACCTCATCGTTGCTCACATGCTCGGTCCATGATATCCTTAGCATCCTTCTGTAGAACCATATCTCTGTCGCCTCGAGTCTCTTCTTCATCTTTGAGGAAATCGTCCAACATTCGCTGATATAAAGGACAGATATCATATAACAGCTGAGTATTCTTTTCTTTGTTACCCAAGAAATCCTCTTACCTCCAGATTTTGGATATGCGTCCTTGGCCATCCCAATACATCTACGGATCTCAATGTCGCACTTATCGCCCTCTGTCAAGATGTTTTCCAAATACTTAAACTTCCACGTCTGCTTGATTCTAGTGCAAATCGCATTTCAGGCTCACAGGGAATAGTAGTAAACATCTGAGGGTATTTCATATTTTAATAGAGTATTTTAGCAAACAGCATTACTTGTATAAAATAGTATGACAAAAACTACCCAGATTTTAACAATTTTCTAATTATTTCAGATTAATAATTTCAATTTTTCAATTTCAATTTTCACCATCCATTTACTCACCGAACGTGAGTAAATGGATGGTGAAGAAGGTTTAGGAGAGATTGTGGAGCGAAGACGGAAATAAGTACCAAAACAGTCAAAAAAATGGTTTCTGAGTCAGAGGATTCACGCAAATTTTCAGTTAATATAAATAAAAATAAAAATTGAAAATTAACGACTAAAAGAAAAAGAAAGAAAGAAAATAAATACTCAACGTTTGAAAATAAATACTTAACGTTTTTCAACCAATGCATCGCGTTCCCGCCAACAATAAAAAAAAAACATACTTCGTGATCGCTCTTTTAAGTAAAGCCGCTAGACGGACAAATCAAGTAACGAGATACATTCCACAACATCAGAACGGCGCGGCTGAAAGGAAATTCCCTTACTCATTCACTCCTTTTCCTTACCAAACTACGTGACATATACACTCTTTCTCACCAAGCTACGTGACACTTACACTTTTCTCCTCACATTCACCCGGACCTCTTTTTTCATACGTACACGCGTACACACGTACACCCATTTCTTTTCATCTTTACAGACAGCTACAAACAAGCCTTGTAAAAACACGAAAATAAAACTATTTTTTACTTAAGGACCTTTCTCGCCATTTTCTTGGTTGTGGGTAGATTCAAATCCGCAACAATATAATGAAAAATATTAAGAGCTACAAAGGACAGAAAATTGTGGAGAGCGATGATCACCAAAGTCCTCAAGAGACACGACACATAGAAGAAGACAGCTTGCAGAAAATAGAAGTCTAGGTCGTTCTAACACATATGCGACACGTTTTTTTTTTATGTTCATATTTATTGCAATCGACACGCTAAAGAAAATATATGTAATATCAATTCGCTATGCACGCTGGACAATTTCATCGCAGATGAAAGACAGAACTAAGGCAACAGAGATGTAGTTCTACAGAAGGATACTTGGGAAATTATGCCCGAGACATATTAGCAACGAAGAATATATAAGGAAAATATGAACAAAAAGAACTCTTGCGAATCGAAAAATATATTATTTCCAGGATAAATAATAAGGAAAGAGAGTTTAAAGAATTTGACACTCACAGGGCATACTGCGGGCGGTTTGGAGCAGAGGAAAACATTAAGTTACATACCTGACAACCTTGTACAAATACATGGAAGAACTGGGACTGGGAAGGATAGTAACGGATAAACATTGCTGAGAACAACAAAAGATAGGATGTTGTGGCGAGCTATGATTACCAACGTCTTGAAGTGAGACAGCACATAAAAATACTGCCCTATATAACTTTTTTTAAGCATGTCACCCCAAGCAAGGCGGGAGTGTCACTACCACGCAAGGGGTTACAGAGAGTGGGAGCAAGAGCCGTGAAAGAGGAAAGGATGAAGAGAAGGACGGGGAATAGATTAAGGCATCTGGATATGTCAATTGACATTGAATTTGAATATTTGGAGATCATAGCTGTCAGGGAAGCAAGTAAGAGGAAGGGAGTTCCACAGACGGGATGTGCGAGACATGAAGCTATTGGAGTAGAAGAGACGGCTACATTTAGCCGTTTCGACAGTGAAAGGGTGGGACTGAGATGCCAACCTAAATGCTTAATCAATTAGCAATATTCGTGGATTTACCAAATTACAAAATTCATATAAAAATTCTCACTTGAAATATTTGAACTTTAGCGTTGCGACATGCACGCTCCAACATTACACAACCGTTAATAGCGCAATTAGGTATAATTAACTCTTTTATAATATATATATATATATATATATATATATATATATATATATATAAACAGAAGGGATTTTCACAGGCGAGAAAAAAACTGTTGGAATAGAAATGACGGTTACATTTAACTATTTCAACAGTAAATCGGCGGGGGCCTAGATGCCAATCTATTAGCACACGTAAATTCTCATAGTCGGGGTACCAGGGGATAAAGTTCGTCAGAGCAGTTACCATGAAAACATTTGTAGAAAAAAACAGAAGGAAGCCACTTCATGCCGGTGTGAAAGTGAATGAAGTCGAGATGTCAAGTTAGGATCGATTACATTGCAGATCATTCTTTGGATTTTGTCAAGAACCTCGCGATGAATAGCAGGAGCACCAGATCAGATATGGCAACAGTATTCAATGCTCGGACGAATGGTAGATTTGTAAATATGCAAGATTGATTCTGATGAGAAAAAACTTCTGACACGGCACAGTAAGCCAACTTTCCTTGCAGTAGATCCAGCTAATGATTCGCTGTAGGCGTTCCACTTCAAGTCAGTTGAAAACATGAGGCCAAGAAGGAGCAGTGTTCTGCTCTCTAGTCCACCATCAGTTATGCTGATGGCGGGCAGGGAAATTTTTCTATACTGGTTAAATGAGAGCAGTTTCGTTTTGGATGCATTAAAATTTGCAAGCCATTTTCTGCCCCAATTAACCACTGATTGGAGGTCCTTTTGAAGAGCAGTGGCCATGTTAACTTTGTCAGCTCTGGCGGATTTTCTATTGAGGCAGGAGTAAATGGTAGTATCACCAGCATAAATGCCTACTCGTGAACTGATGACATCAGGAATATCATTGATGAAGATCAGAAACAGCGTAGGACCCAGGATAGAGCCTTGGGGGACACCCGCATTCGTGTGAAAGGATCTAAAAGTGAGTCCGTTCGAAACTTCATTTCACGATTTGATGGGAATGATTGGATTAAATCAAACAAATCGTCCTGTAATACCGTAGCCCTGGGGTTTATGTAGAAGACTAGCGGGCAAAACTTTGTCAAAATCTTTCGAGATATCTAATGCCAAAGCTCGAGCTTCGCTGTTCTTACCAAGAGCTTGATATACATATTTAGTGATGGCCATTATCACATCAGCAGTAGACTTGCCAAAACGTAAGTCATATTGTTTATCAGAGAGTAGGTTGTGAGAGGTTTAACCATTTCAGCATTGATTAAACCCTAGAATACTTTGCCGAAAAGCGGTAGGAGACCAATAGAGTGGTAGTTAGAGGGGTCAGAAGATTCTCCAGGTTTCTTAAAAAAGGAACTACAGAGAAGGAATTCCAACAAGCTAGAAAGTAGGAAGCAGCGAGGCAATAGTTGTGGAGTTTGTATAGAGCTGGAGCCTGCTCTGGAGCACATTTCTTTAGGACGACGGCTGAAATCCCTTCACCTCTGCTTGCCTTATAGGATTCTAATTTAGAAATGATGTCTGAGATCAGTGACGGGGTTATGCACATATCACTCAATAGAGCCTCTTTTCTAGTGGGGAAATCAAATGTGCATACTCCAAATGAGTCGAGTGTTGAGTTGGATTTCTGCTCCTGTTTATTACGCTTTTCAGATCGCCATTCTACATGGCCTAATGGCTTAAGGTGTTGCCTAAAATATATTTGGCTCCAGGTTAGTTGTGAGTTCGATCCTTAATTCTGGTAGTTTTGAAAAATCACATACTTTGACTCCAGGGAAAGAAACGGTCAAGCCACCCAAACCGGAATAAGTCTGAGTATGAATTTTATCAAAATATCCCGTAAGTGTAGAATATGAACTGAGAACAATGTATCGCCGTACATTGAATAAAGTGTTCGGTTCAAGATTCAGAGAAGGTTACAGAGAACGACGATATGCGCATGAAGAAGGCTGGAGATTCCAACGGTCGAAATATTGTGAGTATAATAATCAAGATGAGCATATTTGTCCGAATAATAACGCATGTAGTAACAATGCTACTCTGACAAACTAAACTAAGTCTTTCTTTCTTTCTTGCTTTTTTTCTTTTTTTCTTTCTTTTTCGTTTTCTTCTTCCCCTTTTATCTTTCTTCCTTTCTCCTAATTCTTTCTTTCTTTCTTTCTTGTCTGCTTGCTT